CCCCCCGCCCATGAAGGAGACCCTACACCATTTTTGACATAAGGCAGTCCAGTCTCTTCTTGAAAGCTTCCAGGGATGAAGCTCCAACAACTTCTGAAGGCAACTTCTATTCCATGGGTTAATGGTTCTCACTGTCCGAAAATTTCTCCTTATTTCCAGGTTGAATCTCTCCTTGTTCCTTGTCTGACCTTCAGGTGCTTTGGAAAATAGCTTGACCCCCTCCTCTCTGTGGCAGCCCCTCAAATATTAGAAGACTGCTATCTTGTCTCCCCTGGTCCTTCTCTTCACTAGACTAGCCAAGCCCAGTTCCTGCAACTGTTCATCATATGTTTTAGCCTCCGGTCCCCTCATCATCCTGGTTGCTCTTCTATGCACTTTTTCTAGAGTCTCAACATCTCTTTTTATAAGTGTGGTGACCAAAACTGGATGCAGTCCTCTAGGTGTGGTCTTACTAAGGCTTTACAGAGTGGCATTAGTACCTCGCTTGATCTGGATTGTATCCCTCTGTTAATGGATCCCTGTTTGACCAGACGTGGTTTCTCTCTAATTCTCTCTGGCATTGACCGATACCTCCAGCTTCAAAAGGCACTGGGGACGCTCCAAAAATTACAGTCTAGCCTTGCTTTTTAAACCTCCCCAGCTCCGCATTCTCCTCTGTCCTTCCCACCCAAATGTTTCTCCATCTAAGGCAAATGTTGGTTTGGCTAGGGAAGGGGGAAAAAGGGGGCCCCTTTGCAGGCAGCTGCCCCCTTTATAAAGGGCTCAGATACAATTACTCTCAGTGGCAGGACAGGCGTAAAATTTAATCCAACAGGCGCGGCCAGTTGTCCCGCTACCCCCTCCCGTTCCCCTGTCCTGGAGGCTTTGCCGGGCACACACCGGCTGATGGCAACTGGTGCAGAGATCAAATGTGCCCCCCAACCCAGCTGAGGTTTTGACGCCCAGATCAGATTTAGAATAGAAAGCAGTTGCCAGCTGTCAGGTGGCAATAACATAAATAATGTAATAAAAAAATAAAAAATAAAATAACAAAACAAGATGAATGAAAATAAAACAGTAAATAAAATAAAATAGATTTGGAATAATACAATACAAAATAGGTAAAATAAAGTAACAGCGTAGAATAATCAAACCAAATAACAGAATAATAAAATAAAATAAAAAATAAGATAAAATAGTGAGTGGAGTGTAGAACAATAAAATAAGAGAATAGAATAATAAAATAAATAAAATGAAATAGTAAAGTAAAATACAATAGGATAACAAAATAATAAAATAAATAAAACAAATTAGTAAAATAAAATAAAATAATGGAGTATAGAATAATAAAATAAAATAAGAGAATAGAATCATAAAATAAATAAATGAATGAAATAATAAAATGAAATAGTAAAGTAAAATAAAATAACCAAGTACAATAGCAAGCTAAAATAAAAAATCATAATAAACTAAAATAAAAACTGAAATAATAAAACAAAACAAATAAAATAATAATAAATAAAATAAAATATAAAATAAAATAATGACGATGCTGGCTGTGCCATCTGGGTTGGCAATACGGAATTCTTGACTTAAAACCAATCAAACTCTTGACAACTGACTCATACTTATGACAGTTGTAATGTCCCAGGGTCATGTGATTCCCCTTTAGTGACCTTCTGACGAGCAAAGTAAATGGAGGAGACAGACTCACTTAACAACCAGATTACTATCTTAACAACTGCAGTGATTCACTTAACAACTATAAATGAGACAGGGCCAAAACAGACCCATGGCCATCTTCCCCTTTGGCTTGTCCTCTCAAAGTACCTCCACAGAATCTTCTTCTCTTCTGGTCCCCCGGGGCACCCTGTAGATCCCTTCTGGGGGCAGCGGGCATGGCCTCGCGGGTGGGGGTATCTCATACACCTGAGGTAAAAGAAAAAGACAAGGAGAAGCCAGAAATCAGGGTTCTGAGAGAAGGAGCAGATTCCTGGAGCTTCAAACCACATCTCAGATAGGTTCGCCCAACACTGCTGGGATAAAACGGGATGGGGAATTCATGGTTTGGTGTGGTAGAGGAAACCAGCTTTCATCATGGTTGGTTGGGTGATCCACCCCATCCCATCCCATTGGACCTCAAAAGCAAGGAAGATTTGGGGTAAACGTCTTAGGGGGTTTAGAAGATCCAAGGGTTCCTTCTCAACGTCCCTTCAAGCAGGCATCCTTCTCCACCTTAGGACTTTGTAGATATGGTGGAGCACAATACTCATCATCCCCAACACAGCTAAAATGGTGGCGGGTGGGGGGAACCTCTCAATGCATCTGGACCTCGGCAGGATGTTAGACGCTGCTCTGGTGGAAGAGAAGATGTTGAAGGTTCTTGGTCTTGGGTAGAAGTTTGAGAAGATGGTAGACAAGTCCCTGGGGCTGTTTTATGTCCACTCTTAAAGGAGACACCATGGAGGGAAACAAGCAGGAGAAGACCTCCAGACCCCACTCTCACCTCCTGTTCTTCTTTCCTTTGATCTCTTCTTCTCCGTTCCTCCATGGATTCATCTGAGATCCTTCCCATCAGAAGAACTTCCTTCTTCGGGATCTGGTAGACCTCTGCTAGGGTGTGATTTGAGTGAGATACAGACTCAGGGAGGATCTTAACTCTGTTGGCGGGCACGATTCCTTGCTGGCCATACAAAGAACATAAATGCCAGCCCTCCAGGCCAGTCCCTTCTGGCTGGAGAAGGACCATGAGGTCCCCTTTGTGGAACGAGAGTTCGTCCGGACACTCGGCTGTGTTGTCGTACAGAGCGCGACACAACTGGGCCTGTGGATGAAAAACAAGGTAGATATTCAGGGTTCAAGTTACACTTTCCAAAGCTTGGCCTTAAGTCATGCTCTCCAGACTATGATACCCAGGATTCTTAAGACTACAACTCCCAGAATTCCAAGACTACAACTCCCAGAGTTTCCAGCTCACATGGCTGGTTATTTATCCACAACCACGATGTTTTTTTTTTGCAAAAAAAAAAAAATGGCTTTTTTTGTTTTTGTAATACAAGTCGGGAGTTAATCTCCCCTTCTATAACAGGTAGTGCTTGCTTAGCGACTGCCTCACTTAGCGACTGTTTGCGGTCACAATGGTGATGAAAACGGAACTTCGCGACCAGTTCTTGCATTTACGACCCCTGCAGATCTGTAAAGCGAAGGAAAGCGGAACTGAGATTACCAGACCGTGTTTCACTTTGCGACCGACAACCAAGTTGCCCAATTATGGTCACTAAACAAGGACTGCCTCTGTATTAAAAACGCTCCAGGCTTCTGTGCTAGATCTCTACATAGGGGGTAACATTTAAAAACATATATGTATGAGAAAGATTATTATGCCACAGGACAAAGTTACAGAAATATTTCTTACAACTATAGCTCCCATCATGCCCAGCAATTTTTTTTTCTTTTTCCATTCCATCATCCTGTTCTGTAAGTAACCTAAAAGCTATTGGGTGAAACAACATTGTAAACATCTGGTTGGGAAAGCCTGAGGCCAAAGGACTGCAAATTTGCTAGAAAATTTGTAGAAAACTAGCGCCTCAGGAACAATGTTAGCTCTTCACTAGCAGGGAGTTTCGAACAGGTCTTAATTAATCCAGCCATTTTCCCTTCCGATATTCTGAATGGGCTCTACCCACTAGGGATGGGCCCTGGCCTTCTTTTAAGACTGCACTGATAAGCTGCCTTTTTAAATCCATGCTTGAATTCCTCCGAAAAATAGAGGCAAAAGACTTCTGGCTGGGAAATCTGCCCAAAAATTGGGAACAGGATGAACCAAGACAAGTTCCGACATTGTTCGGAGTCCCCTTTTATAAACAATCGCTGAGTTTTGCAACAAAAACTTGGGGATTTTTTTTTTTTTACCAAAAACCAGTTGCTAAACATTTCCTGGACTAATCAGCAATACAGATAGTCCTCGACTTACATTTCGCTTAGTGACGGTTCGAAGTTACAACAGCACTAAAAAAAGTGACTTATGACTGTTTTTCATACTTACGACCATTGCAGCATCCCCACGGTCGTGTAATAAGCATTCAGACACTTGGGCAACTGACTCTTATTTACAACGGTTGAAGGGTCCCGGTGTCAGGTGATCCTTTTTTGCGGCCGTCTGACAAACAACGTCCATGGGGAAGCCGGATTCACTTAACAACCGTGTCACTTACTTAACAATGGCAGTGATTCATGTAACAACCGTGGCAAGAAAGGTTATAAACGGAAGCAAAGCTCACCTCACCAGCGTCTCACTTAGCAGCAGAAATTCTGAGCTCAATTGTGGTCATAAGTTGAGGACTAGCTGTAATTTCCTATTCTTTCCCCCCTGCTTCTGCTTAAGCCATCTCAGCGTCCTGCAAAGTCTACAATAATCAGGTTAAAATATAATATACATCTTGAGCAACAATAATTTTCTTGATAAGGTGATGGTGGATAAGCTGTTGACGGTAACTTGGCGGCAAGGAAAAAAAGGAAAATAAGCTATCTGGGTGTTAACAAATAACATTTAGCTAGAAATGATGTCATTTGGGGGAGTTTAAGACACAGCCCTTAAATCAGAAAGCAGAAGGTTGACAAATTTCAGCCAAAATTGTACATTATTTATGGGAAATATTTAATCATCCACAGAAAATCAAAGTGAGGCCTAACTTTGCGCCTCAAGAAAAGCTGCCATATTTTTCAGACTGGAGAGGGGAGCCCTCTGTAAGCGTGACAAAGGGATTCCTAAACCCATAAGCCACTCAATTTCCCTTTAGAGGCACGCCTCGTCTTACAACCACAATGAAGCCCACCATTTCTGTTGTTAAGCGAGATATTTGTGAAGTTTTACCTGTTTTACGACTTTCTTGCCACCGTTGTTAGGTGAATCACTGCCATTGATAAGTTCATCATCTGGTTGTTAAGCGAATCGGGCTTCCCCGTGGACTTCACTGGTCGCAAAAGCGAATTGCCTGACTCCCGGGACACTGCGACCGTCATAAATAATAATCAGTTGGAAAGCCTCTGAATGTTTGACCATGGGGATACCACAAGACTCGCAAGTGGGAAAAACGGACTTTTTTCAGTGCCGTTGTGACTTTGAACGGTCGCTAATCAAATTGTTGTAAGTCAAGGACTTATACAACACCCAGAAAGGGCTTTTCCAAGATACAGATTGAAAAAGCGAGCCTCAAAAATTTTCACCTGGAGTAAAAACCACTCAGGTAGAACAGGAGCTGCAAAGCAAGTGCTGATTTGGAGGGGAAATGAAAAGTATTTTGGTTTGCAAAAGTAATTCAGGAGAGCATCGAGTTCCCCTCTCTCTCCCACCCTACCCCACCGCCCCAATTCCTTTTTTGCACCCCTCTTTCTCAACCCAAGTCAACAATACATCAAAGCTTTCACCGCCACTTATCGGTTTTCCAGATAACAGGGAGGCCCAAATAACCTTGGAACACAAATCTTTTCACTAAGGTCAACATTGTTCTCAATCCTATTTTCTTACAAACTGTGGTCAGGGTAACCTTTTTCCTTCCTTCTTTCTTTTTTCTTTCTTTCTCATTCTTTCTTTCCTTCCATCTTTCCTTCCTTTATCTTTCTTTCCTTTTTCTTTCTCATTCTTCCTTTCCCCCTCCCTCCTTTTCTCTTTCCTTTTTTCTTTCTTGTGCCTTTTTTCCTTCCTTTCTTGACTCATTCATTCATTCCTCTTTTCTTTTTCGTCCTTTCTCCCTCTCTCCTTCTGTCTCTTTCCTTTTTTTCTTTCTCTTACCTCTTTTTTCTTTTTCTTGACTCATTCCTTCCTTCCTTTCCTTCCTTCCCTTCCTTCCTCTTTCTTTCATTTATTCATTCTTTTTTCCCTTCCTTTCTTTATTCATTCTTCCTTTTTCTTTCCTTTTCCTTTTTTGTCTTTTTCTTTCTCTCATTTTTCCCTTTCTTTTGCTTTCCTCTTCCCTTTCTCCCTCCCTCCCTCTCTCTTTCTTTTCTTTCACTTTTTTCTTTCTTTCTCTTTCTCCCCACCCTCCTTTTCTTTCTCTGCTACTTACACTTGCAGACATGTTGGGCCTCCAACCTCAAACAAAGGAACCAGAAAACCTGAACAGCCTCCGAGAACCAGAATGACACCTTAATATATTAAGACTCTTGAAAAAACAAAGCCAGTCTTTAGAAGCATTCTTCTCTTTTGCTTTGTACGTTGTGCCCGGAGGGAGAACAACAACAGAAAAAAGATTCCTGAGAAATTTAAAATTGATTTTTCCTCATCTTAAAACAAACCCCAAAAAACCACAAACATAGAAGCTATAACTTTCCAAAGAATTCTTGGCAAGATGGCTCCCGATGAATATTCCAATGCAAAATGGGGAATTATTTTTTGTTTCTTTAAATAAAAACAGGGGTTCCTATATATATTTTTTTGTGCAGTGAATGTGGTTCCTTAGAAGTTCGGCCAGCTGTGATTTGCAATTCCCTATGATTATTCCCCCAGTAGTTTTTCTGAGGTTTTCCAAATTTCTGGGTCAGCAAAATTAGGCCAGAAAAGCAATTTGAGCAACTCTGATTGCTTCCAGACCGAAAGGGTTGAGCAAAAGAAGACAAGAATGCAACAAGCTGGAACGCAGATCTGTGAGGAGAGCAGAAAGTGAAAAAGCAGCCCAGAGACATTTAAAGGGACTTCTTTCCAACATTTGTTTAAAAACTGGAATAAGGAGAACAGCCAGATTTTTGCAATGTCATGGAATCCAATGAAAGAAATCAAAAGTTTCCTTTTTGGCAATGAACAGGCCCAAATTGTCAACAGCTCATGGAATGAAACTTTTCCTCTTGAATCCAGATTAAAAAACAACAACAGCCAGTTCAGATGTTCCTTCAAAAACATTCAGTGAGCGAGTTTTATTGTTTTTCCTGAGAATAAGCAAGATCGATCAGCGTTATCTTTAATATTTTGCCATTTTTTTCTCCGCTTCTCTGCTTTGTTAAATATCGAGTCAAACTTTCACCCAATGCTGAAAAGGCCTGGCATCGATCCAGTCCCCCCAAAATTTCCAAATCTCCCACAGATCCGACACGTATCTCAAACGAGCATGGGCGAAAGTAACTCCAGGAATTTGGAGGCATTTCCAAATAAACGTAATCCTTCCAGAGAAGCCAGCTTCTTGCTCCCTTCAAGGCTTAAAAAGGGCGAGGTTTGGTTCAGATTAATTCTGATTTCAAGGGAGGTTTCCACCTCCTCGAATCTTCCCCCAAATCTTCAGCAAACTTCGAGGATGACCAGAAATAATCTTGTTTTCATTCTTCCAATTGAACCGCAGGTAGGCGGGAATGTCCAAGTCAGCAGGGAGACATTGCGAAAATGCAGATAGGCGTCTTTTGTTGGCCCAAATATTTATTTCAGAATGACAGGCAGAGGCAAGGGTTGAGGTTTCATACCAATTCCCCCCAATTTCTTAAAAGTTATTTCCCAGGCCAAAGGTGGCAGCATCCAATTCCATTCAAACCAGTTATGTCCCCTGCTGTGTCCCACTCGGTCACCTGCTGAGAACAAAATACAAAAAGTCATTGTAAGGAATTGATTCCATCTTTAATTTAAAGAAAGTGACTTTCCCAAAACCCCAGCAGGCTGCTCTCTTTCCTCCTTTAAGTCAAAACCTAAAGGGAGATTTCTTGCATTCTGGAGGAAGGTTAATAAAAAGTATTGGTTTTCCCCCCCCCCTTCTTTCCTTCCCTCCCCTCCATCATCCCTCCTCCCTTCCTCTTTTATCCTTCCTTCCCTGCTTCGTCTTTCCTTTCCTTTCCTTTTTTCTTCCTTCCTTCCTCCACTTCTTTCCTCGTCCTTTCCTACCACCCTTTCTTCCTCTCTCTTTTCCTTCCTCCCTTCCTCTCATTCCCGTCTCCTTCCTTCTTTTCCCCCTCTTCCTTTTTCTTTCCTTTTCTTCTTTTGTTGTCCCTACTTCCTTCTTTCCTTCAGTTTTCCTTCCCTTATCTTTTCTTCATTCTTCACCTCATTCTTCCCTTTTTCTTCCTTCCTTCCTTCCTCTCATTCCCATCCCCTTCCTCCTTTATCCCTCCTTTCCTTTTTCTCCTTCCTTCTCTGGTTCTTTTGTCCTTCCTAATTCCTTCCTTCTCTCCTTCCTTATCTTTCCTTCATTCTTTCCTTCTTTTTCTCTCCTTCCTTCCTCTTGTCTATTTTCCTTCCTTCCTTCCTCGTTTATTTTGTTTCTTTCTTCTTTCTCTTCTTTCTTGCTCTCTTTCTCCCTCTTTACTTTCTTTTTTTTAATCTCTTCTTTCTTTTCTCTCCCTTCCCTCCCTCCCTCGGATACTTTCAGAGCTGTTTCTCAAAGTTGTTATTTTCTCCCCCTCCTTCCCAGCAGAGAGAGGGCCCCCCCCTCCCCTTCTCGGAAGAGGGGACGCCCTTCCAAGCCAAGCAGCCCCGACCCCTCACCCCTATTCTTCCACCGCCACCCCCTACCATCCCACCTGCCTTTCTCCTCTCCCGGCCAGCCGCCCCAAGCCCAGCAGCCATCAAAGCCGCATCCCCGACTCAGCAATTTCCCCCAGCCGGGCTCCGACGCGTGGCTGGCTGGCTGGCCGGCTCCCAGGTGGGGGAAAGCGGGCGCGATCGCCGGGTGGGGTGCTGCCGGGCAGAAAAGGGGGAGCAGGCAGCCCACCCCCCCCACAAATAAAACCGCGCTTAAAAGAGGGGGAACCCTCTCCCCAGCATCATCGAGAGATGCGGTCGGAGAAGAGAGATGCGCTCGGGGAGAAAGGTGAAAAAGTGGGGGGGGGGATCGGGGCTGGGAGGGGGACCCCCAAACCTCCCTGCTGCTCTTCCCTTCCCCTCCCCACAATCCAGGCGGGGGGGAGGAAGGGATGCTTACTTGGCTCGCCCTGCAGACGCGCCCCCCGCGCCCCCCGCCGGCGCCCTCCTCGCCTCCGCCCGGCTGCCAAGTCGGCAGCTCAGCCTCTTCTGCGCCGGCGCCTCCACTCCTCCTCCTCCGAGGGGGGGGGGGGGTTTGCCCCCTCCCGGTCCCCCCCCCCTCCCCTCTTCTTCTCCCCACCCCACCCCCCGGATCTTGGTCCCACCCTCCTGCCCACCTTGGGGGTCCCCAAGCCAAGACCTTCCCCCCTTTCTCTGCTTCTCCAAGAGAGCCCTCCGGCACTATAGCGCCCAGGGGTGAAAGGGGGGCAGGCGGTGGGGCTGGCCGGCGCCCAAGCCCCCCCCCCCGCCCCCCCCAGCCCCCCCCCCCCCCGCCGCCTCTTCCCAGCCCCCCGCCCCCGACACACACGTCCCTGCTTGTCGCCTGCCTGTCTTCCAACTCCCGGGTCCTAAACAGCCTCTCTTGCCATCCAGGGTTTGGGGAAAGGGGTTGGGGAGAAAGGCCAAATGCCCCCTCCCCACCCGACGCCCGAAGCGGGCTAGCTAGACTGAGGGTCTTGAGGACTAGCGCCACGGGAAGCCCCAGGAGAAGCTTGCTCCAGCCGGCGGGAAGGCAGGGTTCCTCTCGCGTGGGCTATGATTCAAGAGGTCCGGGAGGGTCTTCTGGACAGGGGAATTCCTCCTCGGGGTCTCAAATGGCGGGCAGAGGGCATAAGGACAAGGGAGGGAGGGAGATTGGAATGAGGAGAAAGAAGGAAGGAAGTGGGAATGAGGAGAAGGAAGAAGGGAGATGGGAATGAGGAGAAGGAA